TATATATATATAAAATAATTTCAATTATTATAAACTATTAAAATTATAATACAGCCAGAGAACTTAGTGTAATGACATTGGCTGCAAGCTAGTCGTTCCATTCAGTTTATCGAGGTATATACTTGTACAAGGCTTGTATATACCTGATAATATCGCAAATAGAATGGCCTATATACTCGTAAATAAGAAGGATATACAATAAGTTTCACCAATTAATCGCTTTATGTACATACTGGTATACATACATACAAACACATACATACATATGTACGCACGCAATCATTCGCTATAAATCGATCGCACGTGCCTATGGATGCACGCGTCTTTCTATACTACAGCGATAATTTCGAGAAACAATCATTACACTCGAGGACCCGATTTCGATTTTCTTTAATCGGGAGCAGCATTTAAGAGTCTTCAATTCGCGCCTCGCTTTGCTTTTGGCGTTCTATTTTGATAATGCACATTGCATACCTCTGCGTTACAATTTGATAAAGTATTCGGAGCGTATCTAGCGTGCTTGAAATCTGTGCAGACGTGAAATGGCATGATTTCTTTTTTTTCTCTTTCTTTCTCGCTTCTTATAAAGAAAAACGCTAGCCAAACTTGGAAGCATCATCGTCGTCGGTTTATTGCGTGTAAAACGTTAATCATTGCGCGCGTGCATTCGAAATCACTGAATAAACCTTCCAATGTATGTAGTTTTATTGTTCCTCTTGTATATTCATAATACTCTTCTCTATCAAGATTTATTTCCAACACTTCCACAACACTTTTCAGACTTTTTTGTTGTAACATCAGATCGAGTAGAAAGTGCGCAATGAGAGAATTATATAAAAAAAAAAAAAAAATTAAAATTACTGGCATTAAAAAATCAATTGGATTTTTAATACAGGAGATGTATTTTCTTTTCCTCTATAAAAATAAATAAATATAGTAAAAATAAATGAGAGAAATCATCGTATTTTGTTTTATATTAATTCAAATCGAATGTATTGGCTCGATTCTAATTTTCGTTGCACATCTTTCTCTGTATTTATACAAATACTTTCAACGATGGAAATTAAAAATAATGAAATACACACAGGATTTTTGCATATACACATAATAGCACATCGATCGCGACTTTTCGGTAACTTTAGTTCAAATTCTTTCTAGAAAATTAGATTCATATTTATCTAAACATAAATTGAGAATACTGAATATATTATGAAATAAAGTATTAAATTTGATTTGAAATCCTTTCTCTTCAATGACAAAAGTTTTTTATCTTCTCTTCTTATACAGTCTTATTGCAATCTTGATTTTAGACTAAAGTAGTGACATATTCGGAATTCATTCTCGACTTGCCGCCCGAGCTTCAATATTTTTATGAATTCCTACATATAGCTAATGTAATAAACGCAAAAATTCAAAATTGGTTACTCATTAATTCAGCACAAAATCTTAAAAAAAATAGCACGCAAGTGCATATTAATAAAATATCATGTTGAGGGGATTAGATATTAGCTTCGAAAAAAAGAGACAAAGGGAAAGACAGGGAAGAAAAAAGGGAGAAAGAAAGGGAGAGAGGTAGAAAAGAATAGCGAAGGCGATGACATGCAAGTACAAATCGCATATTGTACATGTCAGAGTTGCCAACAAGTTTCGTCCACTTCATTGGAAGAATTAATTCCTAAACCACATTTCGTAACAATCCCATTATCACGTCAACGTATTTCATAAGCATTTAAATCTCGACCACGAGCGATCGCGACTTTTAATCTCGGCTATCGTCACTTTTAAACGATCCAAAACTTCTTCATCCACTGCATATATGTGACAGAGTTATTGCAATCGAATCTATCTATATAACGAACTAAAATATGTTTGGACATCGTGACCAGTCACCTTTGCTTTTATGATCCCAATATTCGCCATTATAAACGAAACAACGGCTATCCGTGTATGGATCCTGCTTCTTTCTAAACCATAGAGGTTCGTACGTCTCATAAGATAATCCTGTAGAGAAATACAAATTCTATAGCATAAAAAAGGAGTTTAATTTTCACGATTTAACCATATAAACAAACATACCTTGTGCTATAGCCTTTTCGGAGTCATGCTCGCGAGCTCGTCTAGTAGCTCTTTGTTTTTCCTCTAAACGCAATTTTTCTGCATTGGCTTCGTCCCATCGTCCATCCTCCATTAATCGTTGATCAGGCCTCAATCGAGAATCTGTTGGAGCTGTACCTTCTTCTGGTTCGTTCAATTGACACGCTAGTTCCGTGAATGAATAATATTTCTCAGAGTCTTCGCTGCAATATTATATTTAAGTATTGAAATATTTCAGATGTATTTTTAAGATATTACGTAAAGAGGAGGGTACAACTTTTATTATTTTGCGATCGTGCGGGGATCATTTTATTTAATCAAAAATTGTTAATTAATTATAAGAGCGCTATACTCAAGAAAAAATTATTATATTTATACACTGAAATAAAAACTAAAATATCCTCATTTACATTCAATTACGTTGAAATGTTTGTCAATTATACTTGAATAATTTAAAAACTAATTCACAATTGTTAATCCAAGAATAATTTTTAAATGACCGAAGCATAATTGATAGCGATTTCATAACGATGTTAATAAGAAAATTATTAATTAACTTTCGTGTAAACGTAACAATTTTTCTTTCAGCGATAATATCACTGTCGTCATTTTCACAAAGAAAATTACATAAGAAAGTGTAGAAATAAAACGATTCCTGAACGATCGCGAAAAAAGTTGTGCCTTCCTCTCAAATAAAAAATCTTTTCGATCGATTTTTATTTTGAGATGTACTTTTCAACATGAAAATTAATTCTATTGGAAAAAATCGTCGATATATATGTATAATGATATAAAATTTATACACAACTTTAAGAAATGAAATAAACGGGTTTAATTTTTATATGGATATTATTGCTATATACTTACGTAGGCATACGTCGTTTCCAAGCTAATATATAAGGACCTGTTTTATAAACTGGATTATCGAGTGTGCCAGACGTGCTGATTACCGGAGCT